CAAAAGCTACTGCAATGACCTGGAGATAAATGTACCCAAAATAGTTACTACAGATGGTAAAAACCAATCCCCGCTCAGTTTTTGGAGAAGCACAGTACTGCTTTTTTTAATAACATAACATTTCAAAATTCTGCTCTATCAGAAATGTCTAGTTGCAACAAAACCAGAGTGTTGGAAAAGAAATCAACTGTCTCTGCCAATAAGAACTTTTTCCTCTTCCCCACAAAAATCCTGCCATTTCATTCATAAATAAAATAAGCCACTAACTCAGTTGTTGGCAGGCTCTCCCTTTTATCTTTCACTCACTTGAGAAAGACTAGCAACATCACGTTTTCAGAAAGCCAAGTGTAGTAATCATAGAATCGGATTTCATGTATTTTTAAAAGCATTTGCAGCAGCAGAGCTCCAATCACTTTTAAAAGAAATATAAACATACAGAAATTTGGAAGAAGCAACTCAGAGCTCCTGACTTTCTTAATTTCTGCAACATGAGATGAATGTGCCAGGAAGGGACTCCTTTCTAAAGGAGATCTCAAAAAGTTAGCAACATTACACTACTAGCACCGCAGAGCCGAAATACTTATTATCTCAAATAAGCCTGGATGACATTTGAGATGTCTCGACACTTATTGGCCTGCCAGCAGAGTGCGGGATCAACCAGCTCCTTTTCCCTCACTTCTTTTTTTTTTCCCCGTTGCTTGCTCAAAGTCCATGTTCATAAAATATTTAGCAGAAGCTCTTCAGAGGATGATATTGCCTATACTATAGCCCCAGTGCAGGTTTAATGTGCTACTGAGACAGATATTCTGCCACCAGAGAAATCAAAAGAGCTGATGGAGTTGAATTACTGTACCTGGCGCTCACCGTCAGGCTGACAGTCTGGGCTCGATCCCTGCCTGGGATGCCAGCGAGAGTGGCAGTGGACAAAATGAGCAAACACGCAGCACAGATCTGGTCCCTTTTGCACGGTTATAAGGAGAAATGTTACTTTTCAGAATAGAAAACAGAAACATGAATGTTCTGCCTGTTTGCAAGCCCCAGCTGGGGACAGCTGACCCTTTTTTACCTCTTGTTATTTTCTTCCAAGTGGAAAAAAAAAAAAAAGGCAAGCAATGAAATCTGGAATTCAGATGCACTGCTAAATTAAGCTATCAGTTGGGTAGCAACTCCTAGTAGTACCACCCATTTCTGCAGCAGCCTGCCATAAATTGAATAAGCTAGCACGGCCCCTCCTACCCCCGAACTTTGTTACACCCTGTCCATCTCATGTGTTCATAGCCTTCCCTATTAATCCACACATTTTGTGCTCCCACCACTATTTGATCTTTCCCTCCTAGTTTCATTAAATCAGCTACTGGTTTCCTGCGTTTCCCTGACGTTTTCCTGTGTTAGAGCAAGTATCTGCTTTTACCCTTTTCATCTAAGCCTGGCTGTCTGAATGTACATTTGAACCTCTGGCGCACTCTAAATCCCTATCATTTTCCCTATTAATTCAAGGGATAGATGTTCCTTTGTTCCACCTTTGGCATTTCTCACCCTTAGGCATCCAGGAGCTTGAATGAGGCTGTTGCTAAACTGTCCTCCTTTAATAATTTTTATGAAGTGCAGTCCAATTATCTTTATCTTCCTCGGGGATCCATTCAATTAAGCGCAGTTGTAATGAGTGAATGGACACAGAGCATTGTAACCATATTTACATCCAGATTACTGGGAACCAGGCAAGATAACTTTAAAGCCATCAATATTTTAATACCTTGGCTTTTCATTTTGCTATCTTCCGTGTCAGACACATTTAGAGAGACCAGCACAATTTGAGAGGCTGAGTTTTTAATTTCCTCCTTGGTTTGTGGAAATGAGGGTTTAGAAACAGCAGCAAACTACATGAATTTGTCTTAAAATAGGTTTCTCGCAGGTTAACCGAAACGCTTCTCATGACACAAAACAAGCTGGAACGCTTTGTCCAGTTTCTTGGACATTTCATGAGTTGAAGGTAATGTAAGAAACCAGTAAAGAACCAATATTTAAGCGGAGATACTGAGAGCATCAGGAAGTCTCATTTAATGAGCATGCAACAGAAATGCCGAGCTAGAAACACCAGTTCTGAAGCGACTTTTCTCCCCTCTGAAAGACAAATGCTGGATCTGAACATGGGCCTGTCTCTCAGATACGGAATAGCTTTGACAGTTATTTTCGCGCCTGCTTTGAGGCGCCTTTGCATTGCAGGAGCAAGGTAGAAGGGTTCAACGGAGACCGAAAACCTGGTTCTGTTTCAACACAGCTTAACATAATAGCGTCATAGGCACAGATAAATGTGTCAATAAGCATTTGGAGAAGTAACGGGTATCCAGGGAATTTATCATGGTTGTAGTAGTTTCAGCTGAATAGGTCAGATTTGTTAACATTTTAATTTACACAAATCTGCATTCCAAATACTGCTCTTCAGCTCCTTTTCCTAACAACAAGAAAATGTCAGCAGCAAAACCAAATTTACTCCTCTAATAGCTTTCTCAAGATTTCAGGAAAAACAAACAAAAACAAAAAAACAATCTGTGGTACAGTTGTGGGAGTGCTTAAACACATTTTTCAATTTAGTCCTAATTCAATTTTATGTTAATTAGCCAAAAACTTTTGCCAGTTCCAGATGTAAACCTGAAACACAGCAGAGAGCGTTGGGAATAAGCATGTCCTGTACCTTCAGGGCAGCCCCAGGACTGTGCCCAGAGCTCGTTGTTCTGCCTCCATCCAAGTGTTCCTTGCCCAGCCTGGTACTCAGCTTGGGACACTCAACACCGTATTTCCATACACAACGTGCCAGCTTGCCTTGATTTCCCAGAGTCAGTACAACAGGGGAACTAACGTGAAGCATATGGTTCCCCTGCAAGTTTTTAAAATACTTCAGATGCAATGAGATAGAAGTGAAAAAAGATGACTATTCTGCCTTACCCTTTCCCCCTATTATCACCTGCCTCTTTTTCGAGCTGATTTGCTGAGATTAAAACCTCTCTCCCACCAAGCTATCCCAATCTATGTCTCTGAAATTAATACAAACTGACGACCTTTCTCTACCCGTAAAGCCCTACATTAAAATGCTGGCCCCCACTGATGTCAAGGGGGCAGTAATAGTTCTGTCATTTCCATAAAATCAGCATTTTCCTGCCAGAATTCAGATCCCTCCTCGGCGTACTCTGCCACCGTCCCTCCCGAGGGCTGCCAGCAATCTCTGCAGCACTTTTTCCTCCTCTTCAACTACAAGCACGCTGCAGGCTTCAGCATTGCTTAGGATAATCTACTTGCTTAAGATTCAGCTAACTTTCTGGTTCTCTAAATAAAAAGAGCAGGGAAAGGTCAAATCTGCCCTGGGTTGTGCTCGCAAAGTCTGCCACATCAGATGGGAAGGAGCTGTGGTGCTCCTCCTGCTCTGCTTCTTGTCTTCACATCTGGAAAGCTCTCCACTCACCCGACCTTCTCACTGGAAAGCTGTTTCGCAGAGCGTCTCCCCCCGGGTCAGCTCGCCCTGAAACCGTGCCTGGGGCAAGCCCCAAATCTGCGCCGTTCCCAGCCAGCAGCCCGGGTCCCCGTGCCGTCCCGCTGGCTGCCCTGGGGCACTCCGCTTGCCGCTGAGCTGCTGCCGTTGCTTTTATCTGCCCCCAGTAGCGTCCCCGCAGCCGCATTCGGGATTCCTCCCAAAGCTGCCGTGCAGCCCTGAAGCCAAAAAGCGGCCCAGGCATGTGCATGAAATGGGCACATGTCCGCTGGCGCTCGGCAGAGCGCTCTGCAGCGGGGCCAAAAGAGTGCTGCTGGGGAAGGGAAAAAAAATCTCTGTAGTGCTGGAGGTTTTCACCCCTCCGAGTCTGGTGTCCCAGACAGGAAACCCATGGACCAGCCCGCACGCGGCGCCTCCTGCTTGCTCCGTCCCTGCCATCGGTCACGGGGGGAAAGGAGGAAAAGGAAGAACAAAACCAGTTTCTGGTGCTTTCTCTCAGAAATGCAGCACGTTGGGCTCTCTCAAAATGGATTTCACTGGACTTGTTATCTCTGGGGACTGCCTGAAGTTAAACATCTGGGCCTAAGACTATGTAAGTCCTTACTTTCCTATTTGCTGCACAGCCATACTATCTGTGGCTGGCGGTTCAACAAACAAATGATCCTCCCCAGCACCTACAAGTTGATCAAGATCTCCTAGTTGCATTGGACAGGTGACACTGCATGAACCGCGCAGTCCAATGGGAAAAACCCCAGATCTTAAGTTCTTTCTCTCTCTTCACCCCTGTCCCCTCCTTCCCAGGTCACTCCAACCCACCACTGATGCTACGCTGATTTTTGTTTAATGTGGGAGGTATAAACGCTTTCTCCTTGAGCTATATTCACAGCTACAGAAGGCAGAGCTCTGAGAATCATACTATATAGCTCACACTAGTAGAGTATGCGTCTGCATTTGGAAAAGCTGTACATTGTAAAATAGCAGAAAGGAGAGGTACTGAAGGCAGAACCTCACACAAAACCAAAATCATTGGAAGACATTTTCCTAGTTTGGAAATGACATAAGGATGCCATCATGAAACGTGCAAAGTGTGTGAGTATAGGCTGTGTAACTGCTTCCAAAGATAACGTGCAAAGAACTAAACAAGACAGGTCTCGAAAAGACTATAGATGTATGGCATTTATTTGTCCCCCGACAGAAGGGGGACAAATGCCACTTTATTCATCCCCCTGGTCCTTCTGGAGTATTTTCCACATCTTTGAGTTGTACAAATTTACGCAAGGAAAATATCAGCTTCCCAAGTCTGAAGATTCTCCCAGGGCTTCATCGACTGATATGGATTAAGACAAAAATATCACATCAAAGCCACGATGCCCCACAGTTGCTGCAGAAGCAAAGACCATGATCTCCATGCTGCAGCTCAAACTTTTAGAGGCTTTGTATTCGAGACAGGATTTGGACTTTGCAAGTCAGCAACCCTCAACAATGGGAAACCTGGTATGATGGCTTTTAAACTCACCTCTCTGTCAAGTCCAGCAGCCACTGTGACAATGTCTCCTGTCTCGCTGTTAATAGTAAACATATTTTGCGATGGGCTCTGTGGGGTCTGAGTCACGATTCGGTATCTCACCATCCCGTTTGCTGTAGTACTGTCATCTGCATCGTTTGCCGTCACTGTCATCACGTAGGTACCTTGGAACAAAAGAAGATGAAATATCAGGACTATCTCATTGCAGAGCAGATTGTAGTCCCATTGACTCAGGGTCATGCATTTTACTCAGAAATGCTACGGAGAAGACATCCCATTTCAATCCAGCCAGCTAGGCAGGGCGAGGATTATGAAAATAGCAACACTGCTGAGACTAGATGATCTGTAAGGATACTGATTACACGTAACGGGTGTATAGCAAGAAGTCATATGAGGATATCTATGATTAACTTCTAATTCTTTCAGTGATTGTAAGTTTTAGGGCAGCATTTTTTCTCCTGCAATTTCATATAGATTCTCACAGGAGATTTTTTTTCCATCCAATCACTGCATTCACATGCATTCAGAAGTAGAGTTTTAATAGTGGAAAGCCCATCAGACTTCTCAGCAGCTTCAGAAGGACCCTGTCAACATGTCCATGGCCAGTGCAGGAAGCAACTGCCTGCTGCCTCCAGTTCTTGGAGAAACATCCACCCTTCTGGCCCCTTCTGGAGAAAAAAAACCCATTTCTGCAGAGCAAATGGAACAGCTGCTGCCCAGCAGGACAGAAAATCAATGATTTGGTATGTGTGGCCAGCGATGTATTGAATCGTTGGTTTGTTTCTTGTTAATGATCAGTGTCTTCATTTGCCTTGCAAAAAACAATCCCTACTTTCTAGATACTGTTGGGAGTGCACTGATGCACTGACAGGCTCATTATCACTGGAGTTTGGCAGCAGGGTGTTTTGCTAAAGTGGGAAATTATCATTATGAGGGTAAAAGATGTTACTTGATTGGATGGACTCCTGCAGCTGCATGGTCCTGTGACCCCCCAGAGCTCATAGGGCCCAGCTTTACGCTTGTTATATTGGTAGGAGAGAATGTCTAAAAGGGCAGACACATACTGCTTACAAAAAGCAATCCACAACAGTGGATGAATCTAATGCTATGAGACCTGAAAGGAGGAGCGGGAGGCAAAGAGAGACAGTGAAACCAGACATAGCCTCGTTTAGTGACCATCAAAACCCAACAACATCAATGGAGAGATGGAAGGTACCGCTTGAACACTGCTCATTCGGGAACTCTAAACAGGATGAACCAACTTATGAGCCTGCCGTGCTGGAGGAGATGCAAAGTGGTCCCAACAAGAACCTCAGCTGATTCAAGATGGAGCCGCACATTGTTTTACAAAAAGAGCTGAGCTCGTTCTGCCCACTTGATTATGTGTGAGCCACTGGCAAACTTGAGGACCTGTGGCTACATCAGCACTGCATCGTGTCTCATCTAATAAGCCCAGACCCCCAGCTTGGTCACACAGCTACCAAGCTTCCAGCTCAGAGAAAGCAGAGAGCTGGAGAGCTTGCATCGGTTTGCGAGAGAATTTAAAAACATACCCCATGCTCCAAATGGGCAGATCTACCCATGGCTGCAGCGTGCCCAAATTCTGTACCCTAGCCAAGTGTCTTTAAGGCACTCGGCACATAGGCAATCCCCCCAGTACCTCCCCAACTTTGGGAAAATAACATTTCCCAGTATTAGCAAGAAGTGGCACATAAGTTTGTATTTTTGAGCTGTGGAAAGTGCTTTGCTGATCTCTTTCCATCTGGCTCAATCAGGCTCTTTTTGTTCTCTCTGGTGATACAAATCCCTGTGAGTTTTCTTAGTTCAATAAGAATTATAGATTAAAAAATAAATGAATGTGTAAAGCAAATTCTAATGATGAATACATTCCTATCTTTCTGCAATAATCCTGATTCACATTTGTGAAATGAAAACAAACTATTCAACAACTTTAACATTTTTCCGATCAATAAACTTCAGGAGAGGGAAGGAACACTGAATTGAAACAAGGCTCTGCAAGCAATGAATTTTCTCCTTTCTCTTCTAGCGTTCTTTTTTCACTCTTCTGCAAAACCAGTTATCACGAGAGAACTGATACAAATAAAGAAGCCAACCCTTAGATAAGTACAGGGGAAATGTACAGGAGAAATTTAAATAGGAAATGTGCTGAATGAGATGTTTGATTTGGAATTTATGTAATCTTAATGCATTCTGTACTGAAAATATCTCTGAACAGAATGTCAAAACCTGAGGCTAATGAAAACAGAAGTGGAAGAGGAAAACAATCTATTTTAGGACATGTGCAGTCTTAGGACATATTCCAAAAAACAGGCGGCATTTTGCGATTCACTTCTAGTGCAAGAAACAACTCAGAAAGGAAAGTTATTGGGGCTACTAAGTTCAGATGAGAGCACCCCACAGCTCTGGTCCCTCCTCATCTGGGATCTCTCGGACTGCACTGTGGTTTCCAAGATAAAGCAGGACGTGTGGGAGATGGTGGGTTCCCAGCTTGGCAGGGGAACCCGACAGACTGCTGCTGTGGTGGGCACGGGGTGAGCTGACAGCAGCTATACTGTCGATGGAGTGTGTA